CTGAAGCTCACAGGTGGAAGGGACACCATCATCAAAGCCATCTCATTATCATATGAATGGTGATATACCCGCGTCAAAAAGACCAGACGCAAAGAGTGGAGGAATAGATCGAACCAGCCACATACCGGACCGGCCCAATCTGCTGAAAGAAGCAGAGCCGCAGAAAACACCTTGGGTTCAGACACCGAGCAAGCAGCACCTGAAACCAAGGCTGGGCCTGCCACCAAGGGGCCAACAAGACTACTCTCCCCCTGGTAAGTCTCCAACCGAGCCAGAACCAAAAGCAACAGCTGGGTCAAAAACAGATCCGTTGCTGTTTGAGGGGTCCTGTCACACAGTTTCTGCAGGCAACTTCGTCTAGTTGTTTTCCCATGTCGGACTTGTTGGTTCTCCGGGGGTGGATGTGGTGGTTGTTCCCGGAAGGGTCGTGCCTGGGTTCGGGGTTCCTCTGGTCGTGGTAGGCCAGTGGTGCCAGTTTCAGAGCTGGCGACATCTAGTCGGCACAGAGATTGCTCTGCTCGGTGGTCTGCTTCTCATAAGGGGTGTCAGCCCTTTTGAGGGTCGCCCCGTTGACGGGCAATGGGGGAGGCTTGCGCTGTTTGCTCACGCCCAGTCCCACGATTTGTCGGCGTTTCAGGGGTCCAGGGCAGGCCTTTTCCCCTGCACTCTGTCGGGTCATCTTGGGTGTGGTCAACACATCCATGTCCCTCAGGTGGGTTTCCCGCCTGTTTCCAGTCCTAAAAAGGGACTGTGCGGTTCTGAGGTTCATTCTGGTCTTGTCCCGCCTGAACCCCTGGATCATTTGCCGCTCCTTTCGGATGACCACTCTGTCCCAGGTTCAGCTTCTATTGGAACTGGATGCTTGGATGGTGTCTCTGAACCTCCGGGATGCGAATTGGCACGTCCCAATTCATCCAGGGTTTAGGGACTGGTTAGGTCTTGTGGTGGGGTGGCATGCGGTAAGCATGCCACTCCACCACCTTTCGATGCCTTCCGTTTGGCCTGAATCTGGCACTCTGCATATTCACGCATCTCACCCGGGTCGTGGTGACCCATCTGCGTCGGTTAGGGCTTCGGGTTCTGGCCTACCTCGACACCTGGCTGGTGTGGGCTCCCAGCCAGCCTGCATGTCTGCTCACCTGGGGTATGGTTCTCTCCCAGCTCGTTGGGTTCGGGTTCCTAGTGAACTGGAGGAAGTCCAATCTGGTCCCATCTCAGGTTCGAACTTGGCTGGGTCTTGTGTGGGACTCTCGAATCACTGCCTTGTCTCTTCCTCTGGAGGCGTTGCTGCAGCTACAGTCCTGTCTTCAGCTTTTTCTGGGGGGCTCCCGGGTCACTCAGTGGTTGCTCGAGCAGCTGTGCGGGAGTCTGTACTTCGCCGTGCTAGTTTACCAGCCGGGTTGAGGTTGGCTTCAGCGGTTGTTCTGGTTCCTTCGGAAAGTCCCTTCGGCTGCTCTTGCAATCGCTATGTTCGGCCTCAGGGGTGGGGGGCTCTTGCATCGGTTGCTGCGTCGCCGGCTTCCTCTTCAGGTTTTTCGGGGTTCAGTGCTGTGGCACCTACCCGAGCCCTCGCTCAGTGTGTTCACAGATGCCCTGTCTCTCGGCTGTGGCTTTGTGACCAGTGCTCTCCAGGACGGCCAGGGGCATTGGGGTCCATCCTTCCATCTGGGTCACAGCATAGTGCAGGAGTTTGCGGCGGTTTGGCTGTCGCTTCAAAGGGTTTGGATAGCTCAGGGTTCAATGATACGACTCCATTCGGACTACTCCGGTGGTTCATTGCCTGAACCGTGGGGTTCACTTCGGTCCTTGGCTCTTTGGGGCTGGTCGCTTTGAGTGACTCGTCTACTAGATTCTCGGGGTTTGGCTCTCCATACGGTTCATGTCTGGGGAGGTGTGCAACGTCCTGGCAAATGTCCTGTCTCAATATTCCCCTGTCCATGGAATGGACGGTCGACGCCGACTCCTTCAGTTGGCTCTACCAGACGTATGGACCTCTTTGCTTCAGCGTGGTCCTGGCAGCTTTCCATTTGTGGTGAAGCCCTCAATGTTAATTTAATGGCTTTCAGCAGGACTGGTCAAGGTGGGGTTACCTGTACCTCTTTCCCCCCCCCCCCTCCCTGGTCCAGCTGTTGCTTTGGGTCCTGGCTCAGCTAGAGACTTACCAGAGGAGAGTAGTCTTGTTGGCCCTTTGGTGGCCGGCCCAGCCTTGGTTTCATGCGCTACTTGCTCGGTGTCTGAACCCGAGGTGTTTCTGCGACTTTGCCTCTTTCAGCAGATCGGGTCGGTCCGGTACGTGGCTGGTTTGATCAACTTCAAGAAATATTTCTTGAAGAAAAGTGAACTTAAGACAAAAAATGGTTTCCTGCAAGAAGTGGTGAATTAACCAGGTTGTAGTGGATATGTGAGTCTGTGGGGTACTCCAGGCAACAGCCTGTTGGACCAAGCTCTCACAAGCCACGGAATAGAACTCCGTGGCTTGGGAGTTCTCTCAGGAAGTAGAACTCCCAGAACCCCCTACAGATAAGATCCTGTGTAATGCCCCCCCCCACCCCTTGTAAAACTGCAAATGCTATATACAGTCCTTTTGGTATTGGTAATGTGGTAATGGCTTAGTGCTTTCTCCTGATAATCACCTTGAGACTAAAAAGCAGAATCAGGCTCCCAACAGACCAGGTGGAAACCAAAACAACCAACCCTAGACGATACCCTACAGAAGAAGTTCATATGGGAGAGAAGCATACTGGGGGCACAATCCAAACCCAACTGTCAAGCAACTAGCAAAGGCAAGGGCAGCTGGGGCCTGAAGTCTCTCACACTTCTCAAGCTACAAAACCTGAGAGTTAAGTTCAGCACTCACCCAAATGAGACAGCAAGCACAAATTGAAAGAGTGACGTTAAAAAACTGGAGTACACTAAAAATAAGCCCCAGCATCAAGGCTTCAGATCACAGACTTGTCAAGAGGCCCACACAAGAGGAGTCTATCCAGTTGAAGGGTTCTCAACCTCAGATTTGGTAGAAGGTGGACTTGTGTCTTCAAAATTAGTGCCAGGCAAGGTAGCTCTGGAACAAAGCTGAAGCAGATCACAAAGTCAAGACACAGACTGGGCACTACACAGTAATACAAACTAATCATGAACCTCTCTTCCCCTGGAATAGCCTCGATAACAATCAGCAATTTTACCAATAGACCTGACTCGATAGAGCTATGGTACCATTACATGGACACTAGAGCAAAATGAGGGTGGCTGCCACCTCCAATCCCTCCAATTTTGTATTGCTACCACCTGTTGGCAGTTTAGAAGCGAGTGTTCCAGTTGCTGAAAACAATTATTGGCAGTCAAATAGGATCATTTAAGAGTGGGTATCAAATGGTTTATGATGAGTGTTATAACATGCAATTTCTACCAGACTCCTGGAATTGTATATTCATCAAGAATTAAAAAAAAAAAAAAAAAAACTATCACAAGCCCTAAACATCTTTTGGAGTTTGAATCTAGATACTAATGTTACTCCTGACATACTTAAAACAGCAGAGATTGTGCCACTACACAAAGGAGGTACAGTAGTACAGCAAAGGCAAAAATTTATAGACAAATAACTCAAATATCACACATCATAAAAATCTTTGAAAGAATGCCAAGTAGTAAGCTCACAAAACACATAGAATAACAGTGTCTTCATAACCTTGGGCAACATGGGTTCAGAACAGGGCACTCTTGCCTCTCAATTGCTAGACCACTATGACATGGCCTTAGATGCCATGGAAGACACAAATACACAGATTTTTGCAAAAGCCTTTGACCAATGTTACCATGGTAACAATGGTGTTATTGCACACAAAAGGGAATTACTGGTAAAGTAGGGAGAATGATCTTTAACTTCCTAACAGAATCCAGAGTGTAATAGTCAACAAAGTAAAATCTGAACCATCCACAGTGAAAAGCCCAGTTCCCCAAAGGTACTGTGCTTCCTCTGGTACTTTTCCTCATCCTCATATTAGACACAGACAAGGATATAAATCATAGTACTGTATCATCCTTTGCAGATGACACTAGAATTTTCATGAGAGTAGAAAATACAGTATAGAGGATGCAGCAAACCTCCACTCTAATGTTAATAAAGTCTTTCAGTGGGCCACAGAATATAACACAATGTTTAATGAAGATAAGTTCCAATTACTGTGTTATGGAGAAACGAAAACATCAAAGCAGAAACCACATAAAACAGTCAAACCACACTACTATTGAAAGAAAAAGCAATGTAAAAGATTCAGAAATAATCATGTATGAAGAATTTACTTTTAAATAACACAACAAAGTTGCTGTCACAACTGCAAGAGAAATGACAGGTTGGATAACAAGAACCTTTCAAACAAGAGATGCCATGTCAATGATACTTTAAGACATTAGTGTTCTTTAGAGTGGAATATTGTTGCACACAAACAACCCCATTCAAAGCTGGAGAAATTGCTGACCTGGAGAGCATGCAAAGATCCTTTACGGCTTACTAGGACCATCTAAAATTTGTTAAATCTGTATTTAATAGAGTGCAGGCAAGAGAGATACATAATAATTTACACTTGGAAAATATTAGAAGGACTGGTTCCAAATATACACAAATAAAACAACACAACACCAGAAGGCATGGCAAGATGTGCAAAATAGCTCCACTGAATAGCAGAGGTGCAATATGCATGCCGACAGAATTATTAACATCAAAGGCCCAAAACGTTTCAACACTCCTCCCATACACATACGATGAAAATGGCCAACCTCTCAGTGTCCAAAAGAGAAGCACCTTCAAAGGATACCTGATCAACCAGGCTGTAACTCTTAAAGTCAGGCTGCTCACAGCCACATCGAACAGCCTGGTTGATCAGAACAGCAACCAGGAGGCCTGGTCAGAAACTGGGCTGCGGAATTTCCAATCCTCAGTCTTTAACAGGTATTGAACAAGTAGCGTACTATATACAGTACTTGCTAAAATCAACAACACTTACCCTTTTTGACAAGAAGCTGAAGGATTGCTGGCCAGTCCTGCTTAAAGAGATTTGCCCCAGTAAGCGAACCGTCTCCTCCAATCACCACTAGGTTTGTAATGCCATTTTTAATAAGGTTTTTGGCAGCCTTCATACGTCCTTCACGATCACGGAACTCCTTGCACCTAGCTGAACCAATGACTGTGCCACCCTAGAAAAATAAAACCAAACGATATTTATAAAAATTGAGTAGCTTATGAAATATGAAAAGTCGTATAAGAAAGTTTAAAGATAAAGATAAATGAAAGTCATTACACACAGAAATCACAATTGTGTGATGCATCAAATGAACAAATCCACAAGGGATTTGTGAATTTCCACAAATCCACAAAAAACATTTTGATCATGTCGTAGCTCAGTCGATTAAGGCAGCGTCTGGGATGCTCTCGGATGCAGGTTCGAATCCTCGTCACGGCCCTTGTGGATTTGTTATAAATGAAAGTCTTTTGCAGAAAATAAACTACCATGAGAACATTTTAACAAGCAACATCAAAATTGGAGAGAATTATCATGGCTGGGCTCGGGTAGTTGAGCTCCCAAAACCCTCTCCAGATATACTCTCCAGCAGTGGTCAGTTTACTCATCCCACAACCAGATGGGGGCCCACAAACTCCTTTGTTATGGCACTGGCACTTGATATTTATTAACTACTTCAACTGCACATTGTACCCAGGGTGGTACTTATGTACCATTAAAGATAATTCCCACTTGGTAATTGGGGCATCCATACACTGCCTGAGGCTATTACTTATCATCAGTCACCTTGTGCAAACATAAACCACCTTGTCCACCATGGGTAACCATCCTTGGCGTGATGGCTTCGATACTAACACAGCAACCAACCATAAGGAAATCATGTAGTAGCAGTGTACAGCACCACCATGCGACTAATGCCATACTTTATCTTGCAGGCAATGAAATAAAGAGGTAAACTGCAACAATTTGACAATGATGGTGACAAGATCCAGACATTAATAGAGACTATGCACGAGGCTCAGATGTCAGTGACACGAAGAGTCAAGCCAATGAATGTGACTCACCACAACACACGCCTGGTTTAGTCTGACAGCACAACATGCAACGGGACCTTATGTTCCTTTGGAAAATGTGGAAAATGATTAATTTTCATGATTTAGTCATCAAGATTTTGATAATAATAGCAGAGTTTTGGCCAGTGTTAGCAGTGTGCAGAATGATACAAAGCAGCACTGCATCATCAGGTGCTGAGCGTGTTGTCTTGCGCACAAGGGGTTATTACTTGCTTGAACAGTTAAATGTTTGCTTCATTTTTATTTCAGTGTTAATTTTCATGTATCATTAGCCATTTTTGTATGGAGAATGAAAGTTAAGTACTTTCCTATGCTTTAGTGTAGCCTCTCTCCACTCTCCATCCTCCCACTTGGAGACAAGTCAAGACTTCTGGTCATAGGTGGTGCCTTTAGGGCTGCCCCGAGGTGCACCAACTTCGCTGTTGTGAGGCGTTTACCTCAGAGTAAGCATTATTGAGAGTGATAAATATAATCTGTTTTTGTGTGTCTTATTTCATGTGTTTTAAATATGTGATGCCCACATATCTAGTTACTCTTGAATCCCTCGATTCAAAATAGTTGTGTTAATTAATTTTAATTCCATATTGGAATGAAAATAAATTGCAAATTATAATTATAATTAATTTAACTTTAATTTCAGTCCCATTATAAATTACTATTATAAATACAAGGTTCTCCCCCCCACCTTTTTCCTACCATTACAAAAGGCCTGGTATGAGAGTTGACTGTTCCGGGATGATTTCTGTCAATAACTTTCTCCAAAATAGGCATGTCATTTTAAAGGCGAGGTCTTCGTGTTTGGATACAGTAGTCCAGATGATGGTACACCAGGCTTGAATAACCACTTTCATTTTCAAGAAAATGTTCGTTTAATTATTCCTAAGGTTAGTAAGTAATTATCAAAGAAGGTACCATGTCGGTAAGTCTATGCAGCACCGTCCAAGCTGCAAGGTATTCAAAAGGTGCTAAATATCACTCAAGAAGCCAATATGAGAACAGGACAAAAGGCAAATGATATCAAAGGTATCACATTCACCAAGCATTTTAACGAGACAATCAACCCCCTAAAGACACTAGGAAAGCAAGACACACAAGCATCCTGAAAATTAGGGCAATTGATAAGGAGGTGCAAGACTAAATTAGACAACACAATCTGGACAAAAGGGAGCAGGATATTCTTCCATTAAGTGACCATGAGTCAAGTGGATGTGTCTGATCCGTAACCTAGCCAAAGCCATCTCCCAACGCCTATTACGGTGGTATGAGGAAGGCCAAGGAAAAAGGCCACACATAAAAGCATGCAGCATGAATGATTAGATAGGTCGTTCCCCATTCTGGGGAAATGGTAAAAAATGGTGTCAGTTAATTGGTGAAAAATATTTTCACCAATTAACTGACCATCATCTGGGAAATGCTGCAAGTATGAATGACCTCCTTAGTGGCAGTGTCTGACTTTATTAGAGGAAATTCGAAAACAGATAACAAAGAGGATACAAAATGGCATAAAGTTCCACCACGAAGATGCAAGTCTCTGAGGGTAGACGGCAGATATAGGTCTAATAGTGGAAAACGATGGACAAGCACCGTCAGCAGACTTGGACCCATCTTGAGGTTATCTTGGAGGTTATCTTGAGATAATTTCGGGGCTTAGTGTTCCCGCGGCCCAGGCCTCCACCCCCAGAAAGCAACCTGTGACAGCTGACTAACTCCCAGGTACATATTTACTGCTAGGTAACAGGGGCATCAGGGTGAAAGAAACTCTGCCAATTGTTTCTCGCCGGCGCCCGGGATTGAACCCGGGACCACAGGATCACGTGTCCAGTGTTCTGTCCGCTCAGTCACCGGCTCCCCTCCATAGGGGGAGCCGGAGCCCATCGGTGAACAGAACAACAAAGTATGAGCAAGATGACAACTGTTCAAGGAAAAGGCTTTTCAAACAGTACGGTGTATGCTACTATACAGTACAACACAGTACAGTACATAAACCTTCACCACCTGCATCAGGGTCCGGCAAAATCTCACCCGTGGGAAGGTCCACGGGAAAAAGCAGGAATACAAAAAGCTGCTAATGTAAACCGAGAGAATCATGCAAACGAGCCACCATCATAGTGGAAGGTGGTGATGGGGAGCAGTCCCCTGCAGAGCAATGGCCAATGAGCGGCAGAAGCAGGAATGTTGGACCACATAATGTAGGGAAGTCAGTAATGATCATGACAATCCTGTAGAGACAGGATGCCAATTTCAATAGAGAGGGGACGGCAGAAGAAAAAGAAGGAAAAAGAGGATGGGAAAATGATCACTTATCAGGTCATCAAGGACTATCCAAGCCAGGTCTAAATATATGAATGAGCAGGGAGAAAGGTCAGGGCAAGAAAGTGAGAGTGCGAGAATCAACACAAGTTGGCTTGCCTGAATCCAGGAGAGATAAAGGAAGAGACAGGTCAAAAGGTTCTAAAAGAATGCCTCAGGAATTTGTAAGGATATTGTCCCAGGGGGTGTGACAACAGTTAATATTGCACATGGGGAGTGCACAAGCTCCAACAATGAATTTGAAAGGTGCTTGAGATCAGGAAGAGAAATTGGAACACAAGAAAGGAGATAAGTTAATAATTCACTGTTGGGGGACAGGAAGCCAGAGTGTATTCATACACGTTATGCTTTTTTATCAAGATACGTGCTACATTTTTCTAGTCCGATTCAGTTCCATTTAGGGTGACCATTTGCTTTCTTTGTTTTAATCACTGTTTTATCCATACTATTTATTATGTGCTTGTAATTTCCATAATTTCCTTGCTAATTTTTCATGTGGTACCTTATCTAATGCTTTAGAGAAGTCCAGGTATACAATACTGTACCTACAGGAAGCCCTTTGTCTGAATAGCTCATTACCCTTTCCTAGAATGTGAGCAGGTTAATAAGAAGATATATTTTTGTGTTACCGAAACATTATATTCATATCTGGTGCACCCAGCCAACAAAATTTTGAGCATTTTACTAAATTGGTCAGTGCAATTAACTGACCATCATTAACAGATGGTGAAGAAATTCCTCCCTTAGGATTCTCTCCTTGAGCTTGCAACTATGACTAGGTTGATTGATTAGAAAGTTTCTACTGAGCTCATTCTGCATTTATTAATGATGGGCATGACATTTGCACACTGCATTTTCAATCTAAAGGGACTTGTCCTTGGTCGAGAGATTTTTCTAAAAAGAAGTTTCAATGAAAGAGTTATTTGGCTAGTTCCTTTGATATTATATTTTAAAATGCCATCCACACCTAGGGCTTCAGATTCTTTTAATTTGTCATTGCTCTTCTTGATTATTTGCATGTTAAGGGAACACCCCTTAATTCATTCTTTTCTTTCTGAATAAATACACTAATGTAACCAGCTAAATTTCAAATCAATGTTAAAAAAAAAAATGCATTACCAAGTAATGCATTAAAACACAGATGGTGCATACAATGACCTGGGAGAAAAAGTAATTCCATTAAAACAGACAAATTTATTTTTTATTTTATACACAATTTATAAGTCATCAAAATACCAACAAGACTAATCTTATAATAAAACACAGTATAGATAGGACATTTAATTATGGTATTATTACCAAGCTCCTGCAAATAAAAACTGCCTCATTACCTTATGGATGATTCCAGACACAGATGACCAGTTTGCTTCGACAATATTTTCACCGCCATCAATCATTCCTTGATAACCTTCCTTGATTAGAAACACACGAGCCCCTACGTACATTCCCATCCGCACAACTGCACGGACAGCAGCATTCATGCCCTGGAATAAAAAGCAGATTTATTGGACCTGCAAATTACAGTGAAAACTTATATACTGTAGAATGGAGAGTGAAGTAGAATGTGAATGGAGAGTGATGATGTTTCAGATTTAGCTACTCAGAACGAAGTGTTCATGTAGCATGGACTATGGTGAGCCCGTAAGAGTGTTATAGAAACTGCTTCCCAATGAAGAGATAAGCCCTGTGAAAATGAGATAACTAAGCCCATGGGAACCTAGAGACCACCTACAAAGCCCAGACATTCTAGGTTCAAACTTGACAAAAAACTGTACGTGTCCCACCATCAGCTACAATTGTTTGCTAATGTCAATTGTTTGTAATGTACGTTAATATGAACACGTACTGAACAGGGTGAGAACAGCTTGAGATACCTCCTTGTGTGTGTATTTATACCTCAATAAACTTATTTCAATTTCTAAATTTCAATCGGCCACAACACAATACACCCCCATCAGGAAAGACCAGCTATAGGAAAGGAAACTGCACTCTAGAAAGCACACCAGAACCTGCACCCCACCCAAGAGTTGCATGGAAGGATAAAGGAACAGGTTTCAGGTGGCACATGGGTTGCACCAACTGAAAGGAGAAATGCTATACCTCCAACACTCGCTACACCTTATTATTAGTGCAGAGCAGAAGGCAATGAGAGTATCACAAGAGCAGACCCTCCAAGAACTGGCCCAACATTGCACACCTGTAGACAAGTTGAGTATCAACAAAGCTGGCAACCACATGTACTGAGCAAATCCACAGCTATTGCTGGCACTGACAAAGGTAGGCATTGCACTGAAACCCTTCCAATCAAGCTAAATCAAATTGAAGCTGGAAGCAGAAGAGTGCCTGCCCAGCAAAAAATTTGCCCATATCTGCCAGCTGGATGCAAGAGTTAAAAGTCCAGCACTGCAAACTGCTGCGATAGAGGAGGAACCAGGACAAAATAAACCAAGAAAAAAAAACTCCCAAGACCAAATACAAGCATAGATGTCCCTTATGACAATATCAAGATTCCCCCCTGCTAATGCCACATTATAAAAATTCACAAAAGCTCCTTCCCATCGAGCACCACTTTCTAACGGCATAACTGCTACTTCCCCCACAGAAAATAAGAAATTGCCCACTAGTCAACTCTAAGTGCTAACCAACCTAGACATCAAAACCAAAGAAGATTCAAACAGATACCAGGTCACTTAATGCTTCTAGCTGAACCACCACCACCATCACAAAACAGGGACCAGATGCCAAGTCATCCCCAAGGAGTACAACCCAACCCCATGTCACTGCTGGAAAAAATGGAAAGGCAGTCAAAGACCCCTTGCTTCCTTGGAAATAAAAGACATTACTTCACATGAAGGAGGGCTCAACCTATACCTAAGCAGCTGGTTCTAACCAAGACCTTCTAAGCAGCTGGTTCTAACCAAGACCTTCTAAGCAGCTGGTTCTAACCAAGACCTTCTAAGCAGCTGGTTCTAACCAAGACCTTCTAAGCAGCTGGTTCTAACCAAGACCTTCTAAGCAGCTGGTTCTAATCAAGACCTTCTAAGCAGCTGGTTCTAATCAAGACCTTCTAAGCAGCTGGTTCTAATCAAGACCTTCTAAGCAGCTGGTTCTAACCAAGACCTTCTAAGCAGCTGGTTCTAACCAAGACCTTCTAAGCAGCTGGTTCTAACCAAGACCTTCTAAGCATCTGGTTCTAACGATCAAAGCCAGCATATGGGACACTGGCAATCCTCAAGGGTGCAGTGACCTTGAATTTAATCATGTAAATGCCAAAGGATGAACTTTAATAAATATATTTTTGAGATGCAATAGTCATCGAGAGAGAAACCATGAATGCCGAGCCATCAGGAAATACTGCATACTGCCAAGCCCCCATATGCCATAGTAATTGAAGCAGAGGAGCAATAATTCTATTTTTCAGAGGAGCAATATTACTGGTAGAAGACAACAATAGGTGCCAGGACCCCGAGTGTAGCACAAAGAGGCCTGCTTGTCTAGATATGCACTCTCAGCAAATTTAAACCTGTATCTAAAACTAATGTGGAAGAGGGCAGCCCACAATCAATTTTTTTTTAATTAAAACAACTACAACACAAAAAACGTTGCCAAACATGATCTTTGGTAAACAGAACAAGTTGCACCTGCACACAGAGTGACTAAATAAACCCCAATTATGCATTCCCAGATCAAACTCTTCCACAGAATTGCAAGAAAATAGTATAGCCATCAGAACAGAATATCTGCTGCTGAAGAACTAACCAGATCAAAACAGAAGATAACTACTAAATACACGTACGAATGTGTGTCAAAGCATCCATTTATAAAATAAGGAAAAACAGTGAACCTAGAATTTTTACTGAAAAGTCCACTGTAATACTTCGTTGTCATACTGTTCAAAGGAAGACAAGATACAGATGTATTAAAACATGCCAGGTGTTGAGGTGCACATGGTCAACTTAACCAAACTATGCACATGGGAAGCAGAAGAACTTTGCCTAAGAGTAGCACAGCTCAAAATAGTTGCAGGCAATAAGTAATATTATTTAAATATACAATACATACATGTACAGTAGTATTTTAACACTGATGAAAAAACAAAGCAAAAAACAAAGTTTATTCAATATTTAGGTATTTCAGATAAAATATTTAGGGTTGCATGAAAACTTGACAAAACACTCAAACATTAACTAGTAACTTAATTTTGTTTTTTCCCTATTTAACATCTAATTGTTTACATTACATCTTTTCAATAAATAGCTGACCTGGGAGTCGCCTCCACTAGTGAAGACAGCAATCCCCTTGCCCTTGTGCATGCCACGCTGAATAACGTGGCCCTCCTGGCCCAAGGTGATTTGAGCATCTTGTCCGGTGGCCGCCATGTAGTCTATAAAGGCTTGCCAAGGGTCTTCAGGAAACTGGGGTGGGGGCGGGATAACCTCCTAAAATAAAAACAATGCATTATTTAAATACATTTGAGCCAAATTATTCTGTTATAAATTTATTAATGAGCACAAAGTACAAACAACAAAGTAGAGAAACACTATGGGGAGAGCAAACTAATTCCTGGTTACTAACATTTTGCATGCAAGGGTTTCATCTACAAATATAAATAAACTCATCTCTGAATGTGTATATGTAACACATACATTACATACAGTACACACATTACATTACATACACACACACACACGGAGTCACACTACTGCAGGCTCCAGGATAATTCAAATTATGCAAGTGTTGGGAGTAGGGTGAGGGCTGCAAGTCGTGTCCCAGAATGTATGAAGGTGTAGGGAATTTGAAAAGAAACTAAGAGATAAGAAATAAGTGTTTGTGAATGAAAAATCTTGGCTAGAAAAGTTGATCTTTCAAAATAGCAGAATGTCAACAACAAGGATGGCCACCACCACAGGGGGAGGACAGCACCCCAACAAAGGAATGTTTTGCAGGTTTCTCACAAGATGTAATGAAAGGTGGTTTTCTTGGCAGGTTAGTGTTTATTGAGGACATGCTAAAGAATTATGAAGAAAAGATAATTAAATTAGAACATGAAAATGAAGGTCTCAAGATTGAGTTTTGTAATTAAAAAGGAAATTTTTTCCAGCAAGGTAAAGAAATTACCACCATGACTAATAAGATAGGGATACAGGAGAAACACATCAAGGAACTAGTAAAGGATAATGAGGCATGGAAAGTGAAGAGTAGGGAATTTGAAGAAATTAACAAGAAACTAGACTCATATCCCTGAGAGCTAAAATGGAGTTAGGAAAGGAGATGCAACGAGAAACTTCATTGGCAACTCAAATAGAGGAGGCTAATAAAAAAGAAATATAATACATATGCACAAGTTTTAAAAGAGAAAGAGACAATCAAGGAAATAGTGTTTGGAAGTCAAAACCAGAAATGACCAACAAGAAGCAGAAATTAGGCAAGCAAATAGGAAAGAACTGGTTACCAACAGTAAACTTGTACAAAACACTGCAGATAGAAGTCCGTAATAGTATTTGGATGTTTAGAGAAGGAAATATCATCTAGGGTGGACTGAGCAGCAGAAGAGATGAAAATCATTGAGAAAATAGTAGGTTTAAGAGAAGGCTCAACCCTTGGGCTGCTAAAGGTCATAATGGCTTCAACACCCACAGACGCAAAAAAAAAAAAAAAATTATTTTGTCTTGTAAAAATGTTCATTTGTGTTAACTGATCACGGGAAAAATAAAATTAAATCGAGCAACAGATATATTACAGGAAAGAGATGGTTGAGTTGACTGCATCTATCTGGACCTAAAAAACCAGCGTTGAATGTAATGAAACGCCATTTTCTGGGTGAGTCCCGGAGGCTCCCCGGAGCTATCCCAGGCTGATATGCTAATGTCAGACTTTGGCATCAGTCATGTGTATGGAGTTCTTAGGCCTACCGGGGACCACGGCCAGAACCGGGCCCCCTCAGAGAGGCAAGGGGAGCAATGGCCTATAGAAGCCCCCGTGTAGTTGGAAGCATTCTATGTCTGCCATCGACCGGAACAGGCACCCAGAAAGGTAAGCGCCCCAAAACAAACCCCTATTCTGGTTAAAATTGCTACCTAATACCGAACTAGTGGATAGAACTCCCCAACCGAAAACAAGCAAATTAGTGTGACGTCACACACTGCCGCGCCGCTGTCTGCGCAGCTCCCCCCTCCCCGGGAGGGGGAAGGGGGAGCCCCAGACCCCCCGCGCCGGCTACCCACACCTCAGTTCTTGAGGCTGGATGTCAAAAACGCGAAAAACCGCCGACCGGAGGGAGGGAGGGATGCCGGGGAGCCTCCGGGACTCACCCAGAAAATGGCGTTTCATTACATTCAACGCTGGTTTTCTGGGGGGAGCCCCGTCGGCTCCCCGGAGCTAACTACCCACAGACAGAAAAAGAGGGACTTACCCGGGAGGCGGTCGTCGCTCACCCCTCAACTCGAAGCCGAGACAACTGGCTGCAACCGCCGACCCAAAGCAACACAGGCCCGACGAGGGCCAGGGACATTCACAAGGTAGCGAGCAGCCAGGACCCTGTTCGACCGCCAAAATCCCCGCGCCCGAATATCAGACCAAGACATATTCCCAAAGACGGCAGCAAGAGCCGCGAACTTACGAACGTCATGGGCACGGGGATAGACCGCAGGCTGGCTAGACCTAATAACCCTGCGGACGACCTGAGAGACCCGAACCCGCGAACAGGGAAGAAGGGAAACCGGATCAACCCACAGCGCGTCCCCGGACACAGAAGCTGTGGCGCGCAAATAACGGCGAAGCGCCGCAACCGGACACAAAACATGATGCACCCCCGGCCTGACCAACCAAGCATCAACCACCCATGGACCCCTCCGGAACGCAGCAGTCTCATTCTTCGCCAGAAAAGAAGGAGACGGCTGCAAACGAACAAAACTATCACCACGACCAAAAGAGCAGAAACCCCTGCGCCGGAGGAGAGCATGAAGCTCCCCTACCCGACCCCCAGAGGCCAAAGCCAACAAGAAAAGTGCCTTGGAAAAACAATCCTGGACCGAAGGGGCCACAACGAAACGAGGAGATGAAAGGAAAGCGAGCACTCTGTCCAAAGACCAGGACGGCTCAGGCGACGCATGAGCAGGCCGGAGGTGAAACAATGCACGAGACAGCTTGCGAAACGGCGCAGACGTAACATCGATACCGAAAGCAAGCTGAAGCGGCTCCGCCAGCGCCGCACGATACGAAGCGACAGTGTTAGGCATAAGATGACGGTCCTGAAACAACCACGAGAGGAAGGACAAGACCACCCGAACAGACAAGGAGCTAACACGACGAAGACGCAAAAAGAAACGGAAGGACCGCCAGGAAACTTCATACTGCCGCCGAGAAGAAGCCCTCAGGTGGGACACCAACAAGGAGGCCACCTGATCACCATAGAGATGATGATAGACTCGAGTCAAAAAAACCATACGCGAAGACTCGAGGAGAAGATCGAACCAGCTACGTGACGTACCGGCCCGATCTGCTGAAAGAGGCGGAGCCGCGGGAAAACCCTCGGGTTCGGACACCGAGCAACCAGCGCCTGAAACCAAGGCTGGGCCGGCCACCAAGGGGCCAGAAGGACAACTCTCCCCTGGTAAGTCTCTAAGCGAGTCAGGACCTGGAGCAACAGCCGAACTGGGGGAAAGAGGTACAGGAACCCCCACCTCGACCAGTCGAGCCGAAAGGCATCGACCCCGACGGCCTCGCAATCGGGGAAGGGCGCCGCATAAACGGGAAGACGCCGCGACCACGCCGACGCGAAGAGGTCCACCTCGGGGCGCCCGAACGTCTGGCAAAGCCAACGGAAGGACTCGTCGTCGACCGTCCACTCCGTGGAGAGGGGAACGAAGCGAGACAGTGCGTCGGCCAAGACGTTGGACACGCCCCGTACGTGAACCGCCAGGAGAGCCAAACCCCGAGAACTCAGCAGACGAGTCACCCGAAGCGACCAACCCCAAAGAGACAAGGACCGCATCGAACCCCCGCGGTTCAGGCAATGAACCACCGGAGAGCAGTCCGAATGGAGCCGAAGCGTCGATCCGCGGGCCACCCGAATCCTCCCCAGAGCAAACCACACTGCCGCGAACTCCCGCACCGTACTGTGAGCTCGACGGAAGGACGGATCCCAACGCCCCTGGCCGGCCTGGTGAGCACTGGTCACAAAACCCCAGCCGAGAGACGACGCATCCGTGTACACATCGAGCGAGGGCTCGGGTAGGCGCCAAGGCACTGAACCCCGAAAAACCCGAAGAGGAAGCCGGTGACGCAGCAACCGACGCAAGTCCCCGGGGGTCGAACTCTGCGATCGCGAGAGAGGCGGAAGGGGGAACCCCGAAGGAACCAGAACAGCCGTCGAAGCCAAACCCGACCCGGCGGGTAGACCACCATCGCGAAGTTCAGGCTCCCGCACAGCCCCTCGAGCAACCGCCGGGTGACCCGAGGGCCCTCCAGAAACAGACGAAGGCGGGACCGCAGCCGCAGGAGAGACTCCGGAGGGAGAGACAAGGAGGCGGTCCGAGAGTCCCACACGAGACCCAGCCAAGTCCGAACCTGAGAGGGAACCAGATGGGACTTCCTCCAGTTCACCAAGAACCCGAACCCGGCGAGCTGGGAAAGAACCAAATCCCTGGCTAGCAAGCAAGCTGACTGGCTGGGAGCCCAAACCAGCCAGTCGTCGAGGTAGGCCAACACCCGAACACCTAGGAGACGCAAACGAGCCACCACAACCCGTGTAAGGCGTGTGAACACGCGAGGTGCCAGGTTCAAACCGAACGGGAGACAACGAAAGCGGTAACTCAGACGCCCCACTACAAAACCGAGCCAGTCCCTGAACCGCGGATGAATCGGGACATGCCAATAAGCGTCCCGGAGGTCCAGGGACACCATCCAAGCACCCGGCTCCAAGAGGAGCCGAACCTGAGACAGCGTAGTCATCCGAAAGGAGGGGCAATGAACCCAGGGGTTCAGACGGGACAAGTCCAGAATGAACCGCAGGTCCGCGCAGTCCCGTTTCGGAACCGGAAACAGACGGGAAACCCATCTGAGGGACGACGTCGTTTCGACGACGCCCAAGCGTACCCACTCCAAGACGACTCGACAGAGCGCAGGGGAAGAAGCCTGCCCCGCCAGCCCCGACCCCCCAAAGGGGGGAGGGGCCACCCAACGCCACCGCAGGCCGCGAGACACGACCCGAAAGGCCCACGAATCGTGGGACCAGGCGCGGGCGAACAGCGCAAGCCGCCCCCCCCATCGCCCCGTCAAAGGGGCAAACCGCGAAAGGGCCGGCGACCCTTACGAGACCCAGAACCCCGCACAGCGCGAACACCGCGCCGACCAGACGAGGGAGGGTCCGCAGGAGGAGCCAACCCCAAACCTGACACCAGAGGCCTACCACGACGAGAGGAACCCCGAGCCCTGGCAC